CCAACATGTAGACCTGCTGACTGGGTCAACAGCTCTTTTCGTTTTGCTTCCTCGCTTGATCATAGGAGGATTATTAATCAAAGATAAATCTTGTTTAGTCACCTCTTTTCCTTTTGCATCCAGCTTGGTCGATTCGTACCAAACTTGGAACATAATTATGAATTGAATCCTTGGCCAATATCCCTTTGATGTATCTGGTCCAAAACCCACTTGTGTGACTTTGCTATCCTCCCCAACAATGTATATCTTGTCCAAGAACGTGTGGCCCTCTTGAAACCTTCTCGTACAATACACGAGGAGCTTCTTCTCCTCATCTAGCAAGAAACTTTCATCAATAGAGATACGAAGATCATAGCTCAAATCCAATGCTAAGATCTTGCTCCACGACACCGCTGCTGCTTTGGTCCCTTGATCAATCTTATTTGACACCCATATCTCAGTCTTTGATGTACGTTTCTGCTTTAATAACACCGCCATCTTCTCTTCATTGACAACGGAAAGACTTGCAGCTACAGGGAAGTGGCACAGGTACAGATTTCTCAGTTTAGAAATCGAATTTGAGTAAGGAGAGGCTGATTTTTGTTTTGGCTACGTCTGTGGCAAACATGTAAGCATTTCCTTTCAATGACACGCATTGCTCAGAGAATGACAATGACCAGTCTGGAACGATAACATCATCAAGAATCCTCCACGAATCAGAGCCGAAATCGTACATCTCCGAATCATAAGTACAAAGACCAGAGCTTAAGATTTTGTAGCTCTTACTATTATTGCAGTATCTGAGAGCAAGGACTCGGCTCTCCATTGGTTTCAATGGGTTTGGTTTCCTGGGTTGGATCCACCTGGTTTCACTTGTTAACGGGTTCCAAACCACGATTCTCGATTCGTCTTCGGAGGTGCATAACAACAAGCCCACACAGTGAAAAACTGTACATACATCGAATCCGAAAGCTGGATTTTTAGGATCAATCAGGCTAAGCTCACCTTTGAGTTGTACAGATGGAACAATAATCGAACTGAAAACCCGCCTAGTGAGATTGATGCTCATCGGACAAATACGGCCACTCGTTACCATGATCGGGAAAAACTGCTTTGGGGCTTTATCGAGGTGCTTTCTTGCGAATCTCCGGTCTTTGTATAAACGATTCCATCGTTGGGAAGCGGTTCGTAATCCCTTCAGATTTGTCGCCGGAACATGACAGAGAATCTCATCTACCAAATCCTCTGGCAGATCTGATCTCGTCATCGATCTCTAAAACAACAACGT